AGGAGGATGGCCACGCCACACTCCCTTCTCCTCCATTCTCCTCTCGGGATCTTGGGCACGCACACACATGCCCAGTGTGAGTTTAAGCCACTGGGTCCGGGACTCAAACTGCAGTCGACGACATGGGAGTCCAGCAACATAGCCATTACACCAACTGCTGGTCCCATGGAGGCTTGCTTTCTTACTTTCCATTTCTCTCTGGTCAAATTTTTAAAAAAGTAATAGTGATTGGGGCCAGCAGGTGGTATGGTGGTTAAGGGTGCTAGACTCCCACATGGCCAACCACGGTTCGAGTCCTGAACCTGGTGGCTTGATTTCTCACTTTCTCTCTCTCATTCTCACTTTCTCTCTCTCTCTCATTCTGTCCTCTCTGGTCAAATTAAAATAAATAAATAAAGTTAAATTTTAAAAAATTCTTAAAGTAACAGTGATAAATAAAATTAAATAAATCTTTTTAAAAATATATATATATGTTCTTTGGAGGATTATATAACAAAGTGTACGTGACATAACATTTACAACATCTGGGATATAATCCAAAATGACTTGACATACCCAAAGACAAAAAGAAAACAGCAAAGTGCGACTCATTCTCTGGGGGAGGGGGGACAACGAACAGATGTCAACCCCATACTATAACCCAAATTTGGGGAATCATCCACAATTTTAAAGCACCTCTTGTAACTATAATCCACAAGGCAAAGTTAAAATGAATATTGGGTTGTCAGAAAAGACATGACAAACTTTTTTCTAAGCAAAAATGCATTGTGACTTTTCCAACAACCCAATAGAGAGGTTACCATTCTCCACCGTGAAACAGAAACTATACGAGAGAACTGAACGGATACTTTGAAAACACACGCACACGCACTCACTAGGTGGACTCAACAGCAGAACAGAGATGACAGGAAAGTCAGTGAGCCTGGAGTTAGAGCGACAGACGATACGCGATCGAAGACTAGAAAGGCACGTTTGGAACAGAAAATGAAGAGTTCAATGGCCTCTTGGACCATAAGTATCAAAAGGTCTAACATTCACGTGGCTGAAGTCCTAGAAGGAGAGGTTAGAGGGATTTATGCAGAAAACCATACAAAGAAGTAACGGCTGAAAAATTTTCAAATTTACATGGACGGCATAAATGTGCAGATTCTAAATGCTCAGTGAACCCCAGAATTTAAACTAAAATCAAACAAACAAACAAAAAAACCCTCATGATCTATTTCCTGTAGGCTTTTTCTCACCATCCCATTCAAGCTTCTTACAAATGTTCTAATTCTTAAGCTATTACTTCAGGTTTGCCTTCAGTGAAAAACACTTTCATTTAATTGAAAACACCACTGGTTGTTAAGAAGAACTATTATTTTACGGAAAGTTAAAAATGCTGCCAATTTTATAATGCTATTATAAAAGACATGCCTTGATTTCGTAGATGTGATTTTTTTTTTAAAGTGCATCTTAGACCACAGATGACCTAATGGTTATGTTGCTGGACTCCCACATAGTTGACTGTGGTTCGAGTGCTGGACCCAGTACTTAAAACTCACATCGGGCACGTGTGTGTGCATGCCCAAGGTCCCAGTAGGGGAATGGAGAAGGGACTGTGGTGTGGCTATCCCCCCAGGGGTTGTTTTCTCACTTTCTGTCTCTCTGGTGAGATATGTACCCTATAGCAAAAATCTCTCTTAAGAAAAAAAAAAAAGAAAGAAAGAAAGAAAGAAAGGTGCGTCTCAGAGAATAACTACGGACATACAGTGTTTGGCACCCACTGAGTACCGGACAGATACTGGGGTGACATCAATGGTCACGAGCATCCAGTCCTAACGCCCGGCTGGCTTCATTCCTCCTGAAACAAACTTACTCCTCTTTCCTCTCGGCCTGGGCAACAAATGCAGGCCAGAAAACTCGATGACCCACACTGATGAACTCCAGCGCAAATCTCTCTCCACTCCACGAGCTTCCCTCCCAGCAAGGGAAATGCACCATCTAACACGACTCATTTCTACCCATTTTCATCTTCTTATTCTTCATCAGACTCTGTTTATTCTTGTTCTTTTTTTTTCTGAAAAGGATGACTGCTTAGATATTTTTTCATTTAGGTCTATTCTCCCCAAAATAAAACTCACAACATTCCACCCATGTTCTGCAAACTACTCAAACTGATCTCTTTAATGAAAAATTAATTTATTATTATTGTCTTAACCGAGGGCAGTTTTATGTATCTTTAGGGTCCATTTCATTCTTGTGTTTTTTTCTTTTTCTTTTCTTTTCTTTTTTTTAATAAAGCACTAAGAGGATGCCATGGAAATTAAGTCTTTAAAATGAAATAAGAATGTTCCAGGGTTTATGAAAACTGCATCAGTCATCCAGGGACAGCGGAGGACACAGTCCTCCAGCGTCTGGGCCCCTCACTCCCACATGTGAAAGAAAACCAGCTGCACAAGCCGGGTGTGCACCTCAGACCAGAGTTTGCTCATACTGTAGGGAGCATGCCTTTAGAAAAAGCCCATAAGACTTCCCTCCACCACCTTTAACAGCCCAGAATTGTTCTGTTTTCCAGATGTAAAATTTTTATTAAAAACCACAACAGGTTTTTTTCACCCCTGTACTCAAGAGCGTACTGCTCACGCTGCTGTTCAGGCTCAGAGTACTGCTCCCTACGGTGGCCGGGCCCTGAGGTGCCAGCCTGGCCCGAAAGCTGGCACACGGCGTTGGGGCTATTTCTTATTCACTGCCACAGTGGAGACCCCGCTCCCAACTCTAGGTCACTCGTCTGTTCTTTCCATCCAGACAGACGGGGTTTCTTAGAATCCTACTGTCAGCTAATTAATAAAGTGGACTAAACTTGGGCAAACTGGACTTCAAATTCACCACAGGCCTTTCACACAGGACATCTGGCTTCAGCACGGCAATGCCAGCCCTGCTCCAGGGGCAAGAGCTGGCCTGACTGAGGCCCTACAGGTCTCCTGGCTGGCCAGGACCGGCACGGACAATGGTCACAACACCCTGGTCTCACTGCTAACGCTGACTGGGGAAGGCATGCAGTTTTGGATTCCAGGGAGTTCGTATGCCTGGCGCTCACACTGCATGCAAACTGTAGGCCCAACTGCAGGCCCAGCGTCTCTGTGGGGAGGTCGCAGAGAGCACTCTCCGCTCCCTCTCCTGGAAAACCAGTAGCATGGTCCACACGTGCAGATCCTGCACGCTAAGCCTGGAGCCTTCGTAGAGCTCAGGCTGGAAAGTGAACGTGCAGAAAACTACAAACTGATCTGTCATCTGCTGTGCCACACGAGAGGCCCCTGATCAAGCCCAGCAGTCGTGTAAGAGGAAACCTGCCTGGACACACACCGACGGGTTCGATTCTCAGGCACCGGCAGGTCAGCCATCTTAGGAGACCTTGAGGAAGATGGTCAGAGTATTTTTTCCCAATAAAGCATTCTCACATGATCTTTTCTGCACTAAGCTAGAGGTGGGGCAGTAACTAGAGGGATGAAGGTGAGGAGTTGAAAATATTATTTGACAAAATAATTATTTTTGCAAGCTGCTGCACTGGCGGGACAGAGGTCTGGGATTTGGCACTGAGGCATCCCCGCTTCATGATCTGATACCCACCACCTGCAGCCCGGGCCGGCCCCGGGGAGGGGGCGCCAGCAGACCCTGGCCTCCAGCCATGCTACTTCTCTTCAGGCCCTGGATCAGACACGGCAGATAATCAGCCAAAAAAAAAAAAAAAAAAAGAAAGAAAAGGGAACGAAGAA